ATTATTATGTTATTGATTGCTATTAATTATTAATTCTCTTATTAATTCCCTTTTCTTTCCTCCTCCATGTCCACTTGTCTCATGTCTTTAGAAGAATTTCCAGGACAAACTTGAGAGATGGGTTAACAATAGTATTCCCTTCTTCTTTGGTACTTTGCATGCAGACTCTAACTTTCTTCTTAAATAATGAATTGGTTGCTGGTAAAATGGGTGTATTTTGTTGTGTTAACAAACTGCCTTTCTGTTCTTTTGCCCTTGAAAATCAAAAACCAAGACTTAAATTGAGTTTGGTCAAGTACATTTGTAGCTTCTCTTGGGATCATTTCCTTTCTTTTCTTTGTGATTCATCAATATATTATATATTTTAATAACAAAAGCAGCTTCCATTCTGGACATTAAATCCTTTTCAATCAAAAAAGAGGTTAATAAACAAGGAGATTGGGATGAGAGTGATATGACAATTGAACATTATATTTAGAGTGAATATCTTAGCATCAGAGATATAACAAGAAATTCACTTTGTAAGTTGTGAAGCTCCTTGTCTGATAAAAATAAATCACAGACATGAATTCCCCGAGTGACTAGTGTTTTGGTTGGAGTAAGAACTTCTCTTACATCTTCCAGATCCGTGGTTCTGGATTTTATTAATCTGCTGGGTATTAGATCAGATGTTTACCCAAAACCTGATTGGACTATTATTGAAATGAAAACCCTTAAATTGAAAGAAACCTGAGCTGAGGAATGTAACCAAAATACAATTATACCTTTATTTCCTCCCCCACACTAGCTGCTTCCATTTTTGTGTGTAGTGGGAATGCCTATATTTAATCCCTCTATGTATCACCAATCTCTCCTTGCCACCAACATCCTCTCACTTTCAGAGAATGCTCTCCTCATTGTTCTCCCACTCCTGCAACCCTCACTATGCTGCCCCCTTGTTGATGCCTTCCTTCCTGCCCCAGGCTACCTCTTCTGACATGGAAACTCATCTTTCTCCGGCACTGATACTCTACACTAACATCAAAGGTAAACAAAGCTGGACACTGTTCAATGTGTTAAGGATATATTTTAAGCAGCAATATCCTACTGCTATACAGAAGTCAGCCCAGCATGATTCGAATTCAGTATTGATTTGTACAAAGGTCACAGGCATTTTAAAGGGAGGAGAGGGAATAGAGAAGGAGGTAAGCAAGGGTTCAGTTGAGTCAGGGACATGAAAAATTACAAAACAGCAGGAAGGGACTTAGCCCAGCTGAGTCCAACAGAGTTTACTAATTGGTGCTCTAGAAGTCAAGCTCCTAACCCCCACAGAGGGTCTCTGTCAGAGACCCTATTTTTGGATGTTGACTGGGATGAATAGCAAATGTATTCATAATCTTTTTTTTAAGATTTATTTACAAGAGTTGGGGCATAGGCCAGAGATGCCAGGGGTGAGAGGATTCACCAGAGACAGAGTGGGAAACAGAACAGGCAGACTGAATGAAATACACTGCTGAGGGGAGCAGCGGTCAAGACAGGAGATGTCTGCCTTTACCATGTGGGTTGCTCCTTGGCCAGCCAGGAATTGGACTTGTGCTGCAGAGGCTGCAGATTGCTTCATAGTGCAGTGCTTAACACCTTGTGCCACCAGGGAGGCACCTTTATTTATAATCTTTGAGTTTTCTCAGAAAGGTACTTGAAGAAGGACTAGAGTTACTGTGTGGATACTGCCAGGAGCTATAAGAAAATAGATCAATATTTTATTCAAGTCTTCATAGGCCAAGATTGAGGCCTAGTTGAGAAGAAAGCCCAGAGGAGCCTGGCTAGAGTTTGGTGAAGGTGAGAACATTTGTCACTAGGTTGTACACCTCTGTCTAGACACCCTCCTCAACCCACTTTAACACAAAGATCCTCTACCAAGCAGTTACCCAGCACACACACCAAAATACCCTGTTGTGGCTTGAGCATCTTCCATAGGCTGTCCTCCTGCATGAGCAGTCCTTATCCTGCTCGGCCACTGACAGTCCTCACTCTGCCTTCCCGGGCAACTCTGGATCAGCCATTGAGCAAAATAAGGATGAACTTATGATACCAAGAGAAAGGAACTACTAGAGTTTTCTCCCTAACTATCTTGCACTGCCACATTCAACTAGTAGAATGTTTTGCAATTATTTTTGTCTAAAGTGTTTGGCTTTAATATGAATTACTTAGCAGAAACAAAGTTTTCTTTAACGCAGTGAGTAAAGGTCAAGGACTTGGTTTGAATGTGTCGTCAGATATCACTTTTCTTGCTGTCTTATCAGCTAAGAGTTTTATGCCCTTGACACTCGGTGGGTCTGCCCAGCACTAACTCATCGGTTGATTTGTGTCAACAATGCTTAAGCTCTTCCTTTCAAGCAGTGGAAGAGGCTAGGGGACAGCATTCCTGGGCTGTGTTTAGTGCCTCTATTGACTTTAACCCAACCTTCTATGAAATAACTTACCTTGACTTTGCCCCCACAACTTCCCTGATAACATTTAAATAAAGTTGCTCAGGAGATGAAGAGGAAAGCGCAGACTTTTCATTTTCCTTTTGAACAAGCTCAGTAAATAGAAAATGAAAGTCTGGTTTCCTCCCTATATCTGTTTTTTTGTTTTGTTTTTTTTTTTAAGCCCTTAGGTAATAAAATGATTTTTTTAAGCCCTTAGGTAATAAAATGTTTTTTTTTTAAGCCCTTAGGTAATAAAATGTTTTGTTAACAAATTAGGTAGCAAACATCCATTCCCAGTTAGGTCATTAAAAATGCTCATTCCAACATGTAGTTTGGTGTATCAACTAACATTCAAGTATGAGATTCCTGCCATGTCTCTCACTAGGACAAAGTTGTAGGCAGAAGACCCTCTGCAGGGAAAGGGTGTGACTATTTCTGACTTTGTGTTTTATTGAAGAGACATTGGTTTATTACACATAGGATTCAGGAGTATGACATTATAAACCAACACCTGTATATAGAAAATTACGCTCACCACTGCAAATATAAGTACATCTTTCACCATCAATTGGCCCCTTTTACTAGATATAACCATCCCAATTCCTCCTTCCTTTCCAGCAGCCACTAATTTATAATCTAAGAGGATATTTTTGTTTTATTTAGTTCACTCCTGTTTTGATTCTTTTTTCTTAAAGATTTATTTATTTATGCTTACAAGAGCTGGGGTACAGGCCAGAGATGTGGGGGGTGAGATGATCCACTAGAGAGAGAGTGGGGAACAGAACAGGCAGACTGACTGAAATACACTGCTGAGGGGAGCAGTGGGTAAGACAGGAGAGGTCTGGTGCGCTATGTGGGTAGTCCCTGGCCAGCCAGGTATCAAACTCATGCTGTGGAGGCTGTGGATAGCTTCACAGGGCTTAATAGTGCTTCACGGTGCTGTGCTTAACTCCTTGAGCCATCAGGGAGGTCCCTGTTTTGATTCTTGATGTATCACATGAGAGTGAAATTATATGGTGTTTGTCTATTGATACTTCTTACCTATTACACTAAGTATAATAATAGTATTCATTCTATCCATGCTGCTGTAAATGGCAGGGTTTCATCTTTTTATAGCTGTGTAGTATTACTTTGTGTATATATACCACATCTTTATTCAGTCATCTGCTGATGGTCACTTAGGCTATTTCCAACTCTTGGCTACTGTAAATAATGCAATGAACATGACAGACCTCAAAAAGGCCCTGTATCCTTCTTCACTTGATGTGAGGATGACTGCAACTCTCTGACTTCATGGGCTATAGTAATGGATTGTTTCCAAATTGGCTTCCATGTTTCAGACTTTCTTTCAATGACAATTCTCAGGGTTTATCTTCTGGATACTTGGAAACAACCCTTCTTTTGTACTCAGTTCTCTCTCCCATGGTTTCTGGTTTCCTCTTTTGTGTTGGTGGGAACTTGTCCTCCATCTCCTGATGTTATTGCCAGAATAATTTAAGTAAAAATAGTGCCTATACTTACAGCACTTCAGACACCAAATGTTTAGGGCTTCCCATACCAAGGAAGTCTCCATTTCCCTATGGGCACCAACCAAATGCCTTACAATTTAACTCAGTCATGATATTAACTGCCCAAGTTAGAGCAGACCATACAGGTTAAAGGTCTAGTTCCACAACACTAGCTCCATTTCAGGCACCAATCAAAGTACTGGTGGCTGAGGGTACTTGCAATGCCGCTTCTATTAATTATAATGAAGGTATCCTCCAACCCCTTCTCAGATTTTTTTTAAAGTTTTATTTATTTATTTATACAAGAACCAGGGTACAGGCCAGATCCACGGGAGGGTGAGAGGATTCACCAGAGACAGAGCGGGGAACAGAACAGGAAGACTGACGAAATACACTGCTGAGGGGAGCAGCGGGCGAGACAGGAGAGGTCTGCCACACCATGTGGGACCCTCGCCTATCGGCCAAGATCGAACCAGTGCTGCAGAGGCTGCGGACAGCTTCACAGAGCAGTGCTCAACTGCCTGTGCCACCAGGGGAGGCCCCCTTCTCAGATTTGATAATTTGCTAGAATGACTTGCAGAAATCAGGAAAACAGTCTCCTATAATTGGATTATTATAATGGATACAACTCAGAAACAGTTTAACAGAAAAGATGCATTGGGTGGTATTGGAAGGGATATAGAACTTCTATTGCTCTTTTCATGTTCATCACTGTCTCAGCACTTCATGAGCTCACCAACCTGGAAGCGCTAAGATTCCATCACTTAGGGTTTTTATAGAGGATTGATTGATTGATTGATTGAATCATTGACCACTCAAGAGCAATTCAATTTCCAGACCTCTTCTCTCCCCAGAGATGGGATGATGAAGCTGAAAGTCCATCTTCTTATTATGTCTTGGTCTTTGTAAAGATTCACATCCCAAGTTTTCTGGGGATGCAGCCACCAATCATTTCATTAGTATACCATAAAGACACTGTGATCCATGGGAGATTCCAAGGTTCTTAGAAGCACTTGGATGGAGATCAAGGGATTTAATAAAAGATGCTCCTCTCATGCATACAACTCAGGAAATTATAGGGGTTTAGGAATTCTGTATTAGGAACTGGGGGCAGAAAATTAAATATATATTTCTGACTATTTCACAGTAACACATAAAAATTCAGACACCTATGCCTTCAACTGCTCACAGTTAAAAAGATTGATCTTTCACCTGCCCCTCTCTGTGAAGTCTTGGAGCAGACCCACCAGTATTACACAGCCAAGGACTTTGAGAAGATACTGTAGATAAATTGAATGGTTAATCAGTAAATCAAGCATGAGAAGAAAATGTCCCTGAAGGCATGAAAAGTGCAACTAAGTGACAGGATGTAAGGTGTCACTTGGTTTCCACAGATGTCATTGATGTCTATTCTTTAGCCCACTTCTGGACTTCTGCTTGGCCAAAGATGAGGTAGAACACTAGGCCTACTATGTTAATAGCAGCAGAAACCAAGAAGACATTTCTCCAACCGAACTCTGAATCCTGGAGGAAGGAAAGTAAAGGTTATGATGGTCTCATAGTTATTATCCCAACTGCTTCAGAAAGGCTCTGGTGCCTTGTCCTAACGGCCCCATTCCAATGCTGCTCCAAATTTCATGGGCTTCCAGCTTGTTCCTGGAATATGTAAGTATGTTTGCTATGTGCTGACCTTTCCCTCTGATGCAATGTTCCTCCCCTAGATGGTTATATGTTTCACTCCTTATTTACTCCCTTGCTTAAATGTTTATTTTTTCAATGAGTACTTCCTTGACCACCCTATTTAAACTTGAATATCTATGCTTCTTCTATGCTCTCTTATCTTCACTTATTTACCCTTTTCTTAGCATTTACCATTCACCATTTAATAATTTTCAGTTGGTTACTTCCCGATAACATAGACCCCCCCAAGTAAGGAGACATTTGTTTATTTTATTCACTTAAGCAATGCATGGAACTTGTTCATATTCAATACATATTAGTTGAATGATGGACAGGATGAATGAATGAATGAATGAATGAATAACAAGGGAGACAACTGAGGCTCCCAAAAAGAAAAAAAAGGACTTGATGTCACAAAATGCACAAAACATGCATTTTCTTTTTATTCTTCTTCATATTCCTGAGTTACTGGTAGAAAGCTATAGAAAATTTAAAGACTGATATACTCATGATTGTCATATATCTCTCATCACATAAAGGCGGCTTGATAAGATTCTTAGGACAACTTCAAATCTTATGCTGAATTTTATTCTAAAATAAATGAATCTCAGAGATGGAAGACTGTACAATTGTAGAAATATCAGCAAACATAGCTGGTTAGAGAAGATTTTCTGCACTAACCACTGATGGTCATACCAGGCTAAGGTGAAGTTTGTTTCTTAACTCTGTCATTCAGCATCTGATAAATTTGGCAGATACTGGCTAGGTTACAACATAGGGTGACTCACTCTTTCGAGATTGCCTGGAACAATGAAGTTTCATCAATGAATGTGCCACATCCTAGAAACCAGATATCCCAGCAAACTGGAAAAGATTAGTCATTAGACACTACTAAAATGATATGTATATTGGCAAAAAAATACTGAGTAACATGAGAATCTCAACTTTCACAAACTGATAAAACATACTTATAAAAGTAAGCATTCTACTTCTCTCCACACCTAACCCTGTGTTCATCTCTCTGCATGAATTGAGCCTAAAGTGAATGTGAGAGCATGTGGGTTTCTCAGGACTTTTGAAAATCGTAGTGAGCCCACACTGAGGAGCAAATGAAAATCCTAGTAGTGTGACTTTTATTGAGTGACCTTTGTCAGTTTCTCTTAGAAATATTTTCACCAGGATAATTGACCTCACCTTATTTAGCAAATATCCAGAAACAGTGGGAGCGATGGCTCCGGCTATGTAAGAAAAGACTTGTGATAGTCCTTGGAGAAAGGCACTGTACCTGAGAGAGAGAAAGAAGAAAGTGAAAGGGGGTGTAGGGGTGGGGGTAAAGACTTTCATGGCAAAAGGATAACCTCAGCTCACTTGTTAGAATGCTGTGCTCATCTCTGAGGATACCTGGGGATGGGCTTAACCTCAGTCATATCTGAATGAAATGTCCTGCTCTATGATTAGTAGGGCCTGATGTAGGGAGAACAACTTGTATTAACTTGTCAATGTCGTTTAAGCAAAATTTACAGATTGATGTTTTGCCCCTGGTTTACATGTTCTCTTGGTTTCTGCTATGGAGACTGATCTTGCAACCTTCTTTGGGGGTATAAAAGCTCTCTCGTATTCTATATAAATGATACCACTTTAATGAAACCTTGCTCCCCTGCAAAAATGGTCTCTTCCATGTATCTTGGTTCATTGTCTGAAAATGAGCATGTTTTGTTCGTTGTGAACAAAACATGGCATTTGAACTATGTGTGAAAGATTCATTCACCTCTGATATTGATGTATGTCCAAGGTAAGTGATTCTCTTGCTGTCCTTTATCCTGTGCTAACACCTTACATGAGCAAGCTCTGTTCAGTTTCATGAATCCTTTCATTGACTCAGTGCTATGTGAGGGCTGATGCCCCACAGACAGATAGCTGGGAGTTCCTATTGTTGAGTTGTGAGTGTGGCTACTGTCTGTTCCTGTTTTCACCTAAAAAACTAAGCTCAAAATGTCTGACCAGCTTTGGGTTTCTCCCGGAAATTAGTTGGATCTAGGACTGGTGCTGGCAACTCCTGTAACTTGTTGCAAGTGTCTCTCATATTTGCTTTACGTGTCAGTATATTTTAAGGCTGCTGGACATGAACTTAGTTTCTAGGAGGAAAAAGCAAAAGACTCCCTACCGAGGAGCAATGTCCACGATGCTGATAAGGACTCCTACTTCACAGAGACTGCCAAAGACACAACTCAGTACCAAGAAGGCAATGGTGGTGATCTGGCTGGATCTCACCCAGGGCAGGCACAAGAGGAGTCCAGTTGGGACAAGAATCCCTGGGCAGGAGGACAAACACAGTGAACAGGAGGCTCCCTGAGCTTCCCACACCCACCCTCTGTCCACCTCAATTCTTACCTAAGGTAGTAAAGAGTTTCCTGATAGTGACCAGTCTAAGGATTTTTCTGGAGAGGAGAAAACCAGCCAGTTGACCTCCAAGGATAAGGCAGGGAAAGGAAAAAACAAATGGCAGGGCTGACAGGATCCCACTCTGAGGAAAGAGATGAGTGAGGGGCATGTCATTACCCCCACAGTAACATAGACTGAGCTGTGGGGGGGGGTTGTTTAAATCTGTAATTATTCATTATATGTTCACCCCCTCTAATATAAATTCCATGTTACTGGAGTGAGGCAATATAATTTTAGTGCCTGAGGAAAAGGATGAATATATTTCAATTTGGAAAAAAAGGAATTCATTATCTCTTCCTATATAAATAACAGCTGAAATAGATAGTGAATGGAACAAAACCCAGAAGAGTAGTAGGTTAAGGATATGAGGAGAAAATATGCATAAAAGGAAAAATAAGTTTTCCTAAGCATGTTAAAAGGAACCCAACATCATAATAACAAAACTACTATGTGATACCATTTTGTGTCTATCAAATTGAAAAAAATCTAAATTATTTTTACAGGAACAGTATGATGTTGAGGAATCATATTTGCAAGTATTATTAGTGCATTATAGAGGGCATTTTGATAATAAATATAAAAATACATACAGTCTTTATCCTTGAGTTATAGATACAGAGATTTATAGAAAGAGTTATACAAATATGAGAGAATAAACAAGGTTTTCACTGCAGCATTGCTCAGTGAGTAGATACAGTGATATCTACTGTTTATGTGCTGATAGAAAAACAGCCCCTTAACATAGTATACAATGCATACCAGCACTTTCAGTATGTAAAGATTTGTAAAATCTGAGAATATTCATTTGTGTAGGCTTGCATCCTCATAAAGAAACAATGGAAGAATGTATAAGAAATTCATAAAAAGCTTCCTCTGTGGAATGGGCTGGTAAAACAGGGAAGATTAAGGAGGCACAGCTAGTTTAGTGTAGACTAGACTAGAAGCAAAGCTTGCTTCTCAGCCTTGGACTTGTGCCAGAGACTTGGGGGACATGAAACTCTTTTCATGTCCTTTACTTGAAAGAGACAGAGACATGGGTGAGAGATCTGTGGGAAGGCTGACAATGGAAGCCTTTATCTTGACATACATTTTGCTCTTTTCCTTCCAAACTTGGCTGGCTCCTTCTGCCCCTTTCTTATGGGCCCCTACCAGGAGGGACCTTAGACTGTGACAAGCTTTCAGCCTAAATGGCCCTGCCTTGGGCCAACCTATTTGGCTGGGCATTTATGAGGAGATGAGCAACTTTGGGCGTTTCATTGAAACTATTTTAACTATATTCTTTCTCTTCTCTCTGTTGCACACTAATTGTATTAAAGTTCTTTTCCATTGAAAGTTTTGTGCACCAGAATATGTTTTCTCTTTATGCAGTGGATGGCAGAACCATTTATAGCAGGCAGGTTGGGGGTCCTAATGTGCCCCTCACTCCACCCTGTAACACAATGGCCTTGTGAATCAATGCTTACAGTGAAATTTGACACACTCTTGTCCAATTTTAAAAATCCAGCTAGCAAGAATGGAAAGACTCTTGGCAGCCAACTACTACATCATCTACTAGTTTTGTGAAAAATTAGAGAACTGTACACACATGTATACTTTTTTCCATAAATTGAATAAAATTTTTTAAGAAGTGTTTTCCATCAGTTGTTGGTATAAGTCTTAATGGAAAGTTATATCATTCTAATTATATCTTATTTTCAGCATATATTATTCATGCTTCTCAAGCATAGCCTTCTCAAAGGCAAAATTTACCTTGTTAATGCTTTGTTGTATAAGATGCCAGCAGAGTGTATTGACAGCAAATGTCGATTGGATTGACCATAACATTTTGGCTTGGGTCATTAAATATTATGACCGTCTATAATGCCAACTGCATACCACTCTGCCCAATGGGCTGAGGGATATATTCTCAATGCATATGAATCTTCTGAATCATATTAAATATTTCCTACATGGAGGATTGGATCTAATTCCCTGATTTTATGCCAATTGGAGAAATATAAGATTATATAAAGAAGCATTTAGATAGAGGAACAGCAAGAACTTTCTCTATACTTACGTCTCTGAAATTAGCTTGAAGTACAGAGTTAATGTATGTTGGTATGTATGCCATGATGATATAAAAACGCCAGAATATACAAAATGTAGTGAGTAAAATGGTCCAAAGTGGCAGGGATATGATCATAGCTTTAATAGGAACAGACCAGCCTGGAGAACCACCCTAGAAGAAAGCACATAAAAATATTCCCTCCATCAGAAGACAAAAGATTTGCTCTACTCACTTTTCATGTCTGGCACATGCAGACAGACATGGGACATGAGAGAGGAGTTGCTCAGTGCACCTGTTCAGCCAGTGAAGCCACGATGTATTCCTTCTCACCAGTGCTGATAAACGGATGATTCACAGGGGCCTCATAGACGAAAGGAAACCAGAGAAAGGTACAGGCACAGCCTATTCCACCTGGGAGAAGAGGGTCTGGTTAGCACTGGACTAGAGCCTTTCAGTTTGACTCAAAGTGCGGATGATTCCTGTCAGTGACAGAGTGACTGACCCCAATCTTATACATCCTACTCCTCCCCCACATCTGTATTCTATCCCTGGGATACTTTCTAACCAGTTGACTTTGGCCTTGATCATATAACTTGCTTTGTCAAAAGCCTGGAGGCATTTTGAAACCTATGATTTAAGAAACATTGCATTTTTCCATTTTTCTTCTAAAGTCTTAGTCATTGTCATAGGAAGAACATGCCCCAGCTTACCCAATGTCCAAGGCAGATACAAGACCCAGAGACAGAGTTAGCCAGAAATAGGAGAATAAATGATTGTTGTTTTATACAACAGAGTTGGGGGAAGTTTTGAAATGCACCATGAATAAGGCTATAACTCATTGTTAAAAGTGGTAGTGCACCTAGCCCACTTGTTTGACAACATCCTCACGTTGAAGTCCTTGTCAGGATTCCTCCTGCTCATCATATTTGTGCAAAGTTCCTACCATCATTAAGTCCTTCTGTAACTACGTCTAGCACTGAAGACTTAGCACCAGGTATATGTGCAACTGATTAGCTGGACAATTTGTAAACATGAAATTCATCCTCAACAAAGAGATTTTCTCTAGACAATTTCAGTATTGGACAAGCCCACATTATTAGTACTGGCTGGAAACATGATTCATTAACAGTCCCTTTTTAAACTCTCAAGAAAACCTTAAGAAACCTCTTCACTTGCTAGGTTGTGGCTGATACATTTCTTCACAAATGCAGAGCAGCCATCACACACCAGGCATTTTGTTTGATTTTGAGAGTATAAGAACTCTTAGACAAATTTCTCAGCAAGTCACTTCAAATCAAGTGGAGGATAGACAGAAAATCAGTAATGTTGCATATGAGGATGGGAGATGTTAACATAGATTCCACAAATATTTAATAAGTTCATATGTTAAATATGCTGGTGCTGTTTCTCAAAAACTATGTGCACAGCAGCCTCTCCCATTGCTTGAATAACCATTGCTTCTCATACTTATGAAGTTTCAGGACAGAGTGTTTGAGTGTTTGCAGATTCATCCGCTGTGATGATCACACTTAACATATTTTTTTCTAGAAAATATATTGATATAATATGACAAACACCCATGATCTAAGAATGCCATCCTCTAATGAAAACTAAGAGCTCTCAGGTTCCACCTGAAAGAGGCAGGTTGCAAGTAAGATTTCAGAGAACATTGCAAAAAAATCAAACAAGCACAAATATTAACCTGTGGCGGCAGGAAGGCACAGAGCAGCCTCTCTATGATCCGAGAAGATGGGTAAAGGACAGTCCTGGAGGCCTCGGTGGCTTTTTCAGGCTTTTTTTTTTTTTAGCTTTTTAAAAGACAGGGAGCCCGGGGAGAGGGGTGAGCCAGGAGGCTTGGCATGCCTCTCAGTCCCTGACAAATCTTCACTCTTTCTGTGATCTCTGGTGTTCTCGTTCTTCTCTCATTCTGCTACTTTTTCTCTCATTCCTTCTGCTGGTTCTCTGTTATGCCGCCCTTATAAGCCCTGTCTCTTCCCAGGTGTGCCCACCTATGCATGCCGACACCCTACTCCAGGTGTCCGCCATGAGGCATGCATCTAGGACCCTAGGAATCCATCATTAGTGCTAATGGTGTGAAGGCAGAAAAGCCTGATAATCACTTACCCTACAACCCAAACCATGACTGGGTATGGATAATACTGTAAAGAAGTAGAGTGGTGACTCTGGATACTCTGGGCGACTGTGAAAACTGTCTACAACATGTCTCTGCACACTGAGCCTCAGGTGGTCGGCCCTGCCCTGCCCTGCCCTGCAGCCTCACCTGGCTATTGTTTCCTCTGATATATTTTTCCCTATGATTAGGACATATTTCCACAATATTCTAGTTGCTTTAATAATAGAAGACATTCAAATGAATGCATCATATTAATAAGTGTAACTAGAAATATAATCCCATATAAAAGGTTTTTAACATCTCACAGATGCCATCCAACTGGGTTCCTTTGCATGTTGAATTTAGAAGCCAGAAGGAATGTTATGATGCCTTTAAGGTCACCAGGTTATTCTGCCAACACACTCAGACTTCTGAAAGTCTCTGTCATAAAAGAAAATTCTGAGATCAAAAAGTAAAACCTCACCGAAGATATAGAAGATATAGGGCCATCCTATGGTCTGGCTGAGGACACCTCCAACAGTGAGGATGATGAAGCCTCCCAGGATGCCTCCTAAACAGAAGAAGTGAAGTTATTCTGGTGTGAGGGTCAGGCTTGGGACTCCGTAGGCTTCCTACAGATATAATCAAGCAGACAAAGCTGAGCCGTACAATGATTGCACAATGAAGGTATGAGCTGAAATCTAGACCACCCAGCTTCAAATCCTGCTCCTTCATTCAGAAACTGTGTATGGCTCATAAGGTGACAATTAGCATCTCAGTTACCTGATACAGCCATGGTGATCAGCTGACTCCTTTCTAGTGGGGGTGCCCATTTGACCCAAATTGAAAACTGACCTGTGGATACCATAACCTGAAAAAGAAAAAAAAGTTCTCTCATTAGCTATCTGACTTCACTTGGAACCTGTATTCCACTCATACTTTACAAAACATCTTAGTACCTGGGCTATGCCTTGGACAACCCGAAGGACAATGAGCAAAGTCACCCCAGCATCAGCTGCCAGTGGAGTGAAGAGGGTCAGGACTGAGGAAATGACCAAGCCAGCTCCAACCACGTACTTGGCTCCAAATATTCCAGCCACATAGCCACTAGGGATTGGAGCCAAGAATGAGGCATAGTTGAGGGAACTGAGGATGACTCCTTGGGTCTCAGGATTCCAATCATACACAGGGGCCTAGAAAAGAAAGGAACACCATGGTTAACATTTGGCTGGAGACTTGAAACATTTGATTGTGAGGACTTGAGGGGAAAAGTTAATAATAGCTGGCAGTTCTTTTTCCTTTCATCTCTTCCATTCCTCTAACCTACCAATTTCATCGAGAAAACACATATACGCACAAAAACACATGTATGCATGTATATGTATGTATTTTAATGTAATTCTCCAATTATAAAATTATCAGGCCAGCCTAAAAAATGAGACCATAATAAAAGACAGCCTAAAAAGTGAGAATATAATAAAAATTTTTTGGAAAAGAAGAAGTGATCTTAAGTCTGTACCTACTTTATGTTGATTTTCACCATTGTAGGGGAAGAATTTATGCCCACTAAATGGTGAAATCTATTTTCTTCATTCTACTTTCTTCCCTGGGAATACTTATAGACACTGAATAGAGAGAGAATTTCTTTAGATACACATTATATTCTTGGGTAATAGAGCTCTTGAAACATAGTAGTTGCTCAATAAATAATCTTTTATGTCAAACCATTTGAGTGAAACAGTACAGAATCTCATTAACTTACCACTGCCTTAAATTCCTTTACAGTTTCATTCCAGTTGTCCAGGGTGTCATTGGGATGTCTTCTTGCAGAAGCATTGGGTTGGCTGTTGTACAGGCCTATGTGGTTCACCATAGCTGGCATGGCGATGCTCAAGTTCATTTGTTGGGTGGAAATTGAAAAGTTACAGAGAAGCAAGATGAAGGCCAGCCCATGCCTGACTAAGCAAAAGCCTGAGATGAGAAAGCACAGAAAGTCTTAAGGTATGTTCATTACTCCCATACTCCCGCAGTCTAGACAAGGTACAAGACAGCCTTTTGTCTGTGAAGCAGGAAAACAGAGTATGCAGACTTTGTTCTAGTGTCTGGTGACACTTGGTCCCTAGGAAGTGAGCTGGCTAATACTGCCTCTGCATTATATTTGAAGTAGAGAAGAATGTGCGGAATTGACTGGAGTGAGCAGTAGGGATTTCCAGGCAGGGTCCTGGAATGAAATAATGAAAGTGTGAATGGAAAGGATGGATTTAGAGAAATAATTGAGTGGAAAGAGTGATTAGCTGGATAGTAAAGGAGAGAAGTTGTTGGAAATGACTCTCAAGTGTCCTACATGAGCGGCTGGGATGGCAGGTGGTACCATTTATGGCTGGGAAACATGGCATGATTTGGGGCTGGGAAATAAGCCTTGAAATGTAGCCTATGTTAGATTACAAAAGTACATCAACTTCATCTTTAAATTTTTAGCTAGTCTTGCACAAAATGTGCCAGTGTTGCATGAGAACCCTGTGGTGATCCCAGAGTTGAGTGCAGAAACATAGTTAGACAGGAGCTGGAAGGGTTGATTAAATTGTCCTGTCCTCATGGCATGTGGCTGCCCCACATTCTGGCTCTTGCCAGGGATCAAATGCAGGTGGAGTGGCCAGTACTGTTTCCTGTTGTGTAGGGATTCTCTGATTAGGAGTTGACAGCCAGACACCAATGCAGGTTTGATTCTGGGAATATTAGTTGAGACTCTCCCTTTCCCCATGCACAAAAATTTGCATGGGAATTCTGATCACCCCCATATTTATAGGGCAGGTCAACCTAAGAGGGATTGTCACATTTACAGCGTTATCTTCTCCCAGCCAAGAAGCCTGTTTCTCTCCCAATGTGGAATTTTATGGTTATCTTCCAATAAGTCACAAGTTATTAAAGTGTTTTTGATTGTTTTTATAACTCAGTCCTTTTCTCAATCATTTTCATCTTTTCCCTTGGGTTTAGACAAAAAATAAAGCTTAAACACTTTATATGCAATTAGTAGAAAAAATAGGCAACAGGTAATTATTTTTGACATTTATAACATTTATTTCATTGTTTTAGACAATCTTACTCACTGGCATTTTAAAAAATGGTAAATAGGACTGCTGATGGAGGGCACTCCTATCATATCAGAGTTTACTGGAAGTGTTTCTCATTTTATACTTTAGGCATGCTGCTAGTAGCCTTTGGGACTTGTAGTTTGTAGCTACTGTAGGAAGCCATCCTAATCCTATATTATTTTTATGTGAATACATGAGTTTTATAAAATGCACTTTAATCCTGAAATCATAACACTTGTAAAATGGTGTTACTAATAACTACCTAAAGGCGTTTCAGTGATAATTGAATAGTTTATGTAAGTTCATTATAGTTATTAATCAACTTGCAATAAGCTACTTCTAATTAGAGAATGTTATTCTCTTACTAGGTTGTTTCAAGGAAAACACATGATTTATTTTACCAAGTTTTAGCTAGAATTTTGCATTCACATATTTAACTGTTTTATTTGTAGTTTGTGAATGTGTATGTGTGTTATTTTTGCCATGCTAGTTTTGTGAAGTTTTAGCATTCCTTCTCAATCTCTTATCTGAAGCATTTTACCTACACAGCCATTTTCTTTTTCTTATAATTTAGAGAAGTTTCAGACTTAAAGAACTATTGAATACCTGTATACCTTTTTTTTTATTTTCTTGTTATTAACATCTTATGTAAGTACGGTACACTTGTCACAACTAAGGAACCTACATGAAGCAATGTCTATACTCAGACATTTTAGATTTTATATCTTTTTTCTGTTCTAGAGTCCCATTCAGGACACCAGAGTACCTCTCATTGTTATAGCTCCTTGAACTCCGTTTGCTTATGACAGTTTCTCAGATTTTGTTTTGATGAGCTTGACAACTATGAAGAGCTCCGATGAGGTATTTTGCAGAATGTCCCTTAATTGACATTTTCTGATGTTTTTCTAATTATACTAAAGGCATGTGTTTTTGAGATAAAGACTATAAAGTTAAATTGACACTCATTGTATCATATCAAGGGTGCATGTTATCAACATGATTTATCACTGCTGATATGAACCTTGATCACTTGGCTTGCAGTAGAATTTGCCATATGTATCTATGAGAAACTGCTCCTTTCTTCTCTCTTTATACACTGTGTCCTGGAAAAAAGGCACATCATAGTTCACACTTCAGGAATAAGGAGCTAGACTTCACTTTCCTAAAGTGGGTATCTCCATAAATTCTTTGCATCTCTTCCTCACAGCATACATAAGCATTTTTTGTTCCTTAAAAACCTCAGATTTTTTTCTAGTGATCTGGTAAGACATAATTTGTTTGTTTGAAAAGGGATAACTTTACAGGAACTTTCTCTATATCTTACTTTTTCCCCCAAAAAAAATCTTTCTTTATTCAAACATATGATATATTTTTGTAGAAAATCAATTACCTTTTCTACTCTCCTCATAATCAGCATCATTTTAGTGATTATGGTTCAGATCAGCAGTGATAAACATGTTGATAACATGCACCCTTGTATTGATACAATGAGAGTGACAATTTAACTTTATAGTCTCTATCTCAAAAATACATACCTTTAATCTAATCTCCTTTTCTGTCATGATTGCTTACACTGAATCTCTCTGCAGATCATCTGATTAGATTATTAGCTTTATTGCCAGGTATGTTAACGTCTTTGTCAAAGAATCAATTTCCACATATATTTTTCATTTCAATGTCCTTAATGACATGCTTACTTTTTTCTACATTGATTTTTATCTTTCTTTGAAGGGCAATAGTCCTTTCTTTTAGGACAATAGTAAAATTGATACTTAAGTAAGTTTTCTTTATGATAGATCATAAAAATAACTGTTATAATACAGATGAGAAGAAGGAAGAAAAGTGACATTTATGAGTAGTTTAAAGGAAAAGTCTATCTTCTCTGAGCACATCTGAGTGAATATGAGCAGAGAGATCTAGTGGAAATTCCTCTGGCCTTAAATTCAGAAAAGACGAGATTTATTTCTATAGTTCCACCTGCTCTGAATATTTTCCTCTATCCATAAATAATGTCTTGATACCTACCTGTTCTACATAACAATCAAAGTTTCTTATGAGAAAAAAATAGTTCTCAGAAAAAAATGCTTTTCAGCTGTCTAGCATTCTTGTTCATTGGTGTTAGCAAGAAGATGCTGTATTTCACCAAAGGGGAAGGTAAGTGACATAAATTGCAATTTCATCCACAGTGAATACATGGTTTTACCTTCCCTGGAGGTTTGTGCTTCAGTCATACTTAAGACACCATCATTGGAAGTATCTCCCTTTGTCTCCTTGGTTTCTGCTCTAGTGGACATGTTGCATTTACCTGGGGAAATAAAAGAATGAAGAACAAATAAGAAGAGGCGTGTCATATGTCATATATGACATTGCCCCAAGTCTTCTGAGAATTGAAGGGAAATGTTTTGTGGTGAGAAAAGTGATTTGTTGGGGTTCAGGAGAACTGGTCTGTCTTCCAGTACCTTTCACTAGACATTGTGTGACTCTGGGAGGGCCCCAGTGGATTGTAGTCTCTGCTTTTTCCAGTGAAAGATTTCTTTCCAATTGCCGTGTGGAATTATAGTGTTCTCTCCAATCCCGTGTTCCCACGTCTTTCAACTGATATCAGTAACAACTGGTTGTTAAAACTTGACGAAAGATTTTAAAATATTTATAGACAAACTTTCATCCATGCTCACCAGACAAAAAGGGAGAAAACTCAAGGAAATAGAATCAGAAATGAAAGAGGCTCTTCCTCTCCATGTGGTGGACAACACTGGTCAGGTCACCCCATCTGTACCAAGTGGTGCCAGGAAAACTCCTATGTGATGCTGATTTGGAATCAGGCATGGCCGTGGAAAAAGTGGAGAAACCATGAAAACAAAATTAGAGGTAAAAGGGAAACCAAAATCAATTAAGACTGAAGGGGCAGCAGAGAAAAAGGAGGAAGCTGCTTTCTCTAAAGATAAAAAAGGTTAAAAAGAAAACTGGGCCTTCTGTGGCTGACATGAGTTCCCTTAAAGCCCAAAAGGCAATAAAGAAAGAGGCCCCTTCTCAAGAAGACGACATTACTTCTCCTGAATCCAAACATGTAAAGAAAAAAATAAAAAGGAGTCCTTGGAAAAGAATGTTGTTTCTCCTAAAGCTAAAAAGGTGAAAAATGAGGAGAAAAAAATGAAGAAGAAACAAGTGCTCCTAAACCCAAGAAAATAAAAAAAGAAAAGGAAATGAATGGAGAAATTAGGGAGAAAAACCCCAAGCTGAAGAATGGATTCCCTCATTCTGAACCTCGACAAAAACACAAATGAAGCCACCGTGAAGAAATTTAACAGTGAGTTACAACAGCAGGAAGCATCCATGACAGGAAGAATTCTCTAATTTTCCCATATCTGAAAAGGCTATTAAGCTTCTCACAGTCTGTGGGGTGACTTATCTTTCCACCATATCTATGATGAGAAGAATTTAATCACACAGGCATGGACAGGATCTGGGAAGACATTCTCCTTTGACATTCCTTGGTCTGAGAAACTTCTGGGAGAAATGCAAAACTGGTAGAGAGGTCTTGCCCCTCAGGTACTGGTTCTTTTTTTTTTTTAATACCCTTGTTGTTGTTGTTGTTTAAAGATTTATTTATGCATACAAGAACTGGGGTGCAGGCCAGAGATGTGGGTGGGGGAGGGGGGTGAGAGGATTCACCAGAGACAGAGTGGGGAGCAGAACAGGCAGACTGACTGAAATACACTGCTGAGGGGAGGAGCGGGGAGACAGGAGAGGTCTGCTGTGCCATGAGGGTCAGCTCCCTGGCTGGGGATCGAACTTGTGCTGCAGAGGCTGCGGATAGCTTCATAGTGCTGTGCTTATCCCCTTGCACCACCAGGGAGGCCCCTCAGGTTCTAGTTCTTGTACCCAAAAGGAAGTTGACAAATCAAGGAAGCAGAGACTTCAGTGACATCACAAAAAGTTAGCAGTGGCTTTTTTTTTTTTTTTAATGGTGGAACTCCCTCTGGAGGTCAAATTGAGCACATGCAGAAAGGAATGAATATCCTGGTTAGCATGCCATGTTGTATCAAAGACCATCTCTGGAATGACAAGTAAGGTCTCAGCAAACTTAAGCACGTTGACCTGGATGAAGTTAATCAGATGTTGGATATGGGCTTTGCTGAGAGTGGAAGAGATTTTATGTGTGGAAGAGATATTATGTGTGGCATATTAAAAAGATCAGAAGACAATCCCCAAACATTGCTTTTTCCAGCAACTTACCCTTACTGTGTATACAATCTTGTTGAGAAACGCATGCAATCTACAGATGAACATGTGGATCTGATTGGTAAAAAACTCAGAAAGCGGCAATAACTGTGGAGCAGCTGGCTCCCAAGTGCCACTGGACTCCAAGGGCAGCACTTATTGGAGACGTGGAGACATGGAGACATTGGAGACATATAATGGTTTTAATGGACATATTATTGTCTCTGTGAAACCAAGAAGAATGCCCAGGAATTGTCTCAAAAAGCATCCAAAAAGCAGGATGCCCAGTCATTACATGGAGACAGAAGACATTACATTCCACAGAAACAAAGAGAAATCACCCTGAAAGATTTTAGAAATGGTGACTTCAGAGCTGCTGCACATGGGTTGGAGATCTCTGAGGCTAATCTGGTTATACAAAGTTCTCCACTAAAGGATGTAGAGTTCTATAGTTATGGTTTTGGGAAAATGGGTAGAGGTGGAATGACTGGGGTTTGCATTTGTTTTTATCAGAACAAAGAAGATTTTCAATTAATGCAAGTGGAGCAAAAAGCAGGAATTAAACTTAAATGAATATGTGTTCCTTCTGCAACAGAGATAATAAAATCTTCCTGCAAAAATGCCATCAAGCTTTTGAAATCTGTGGCTCTCACTGCAATTAAGCATTCAAGCAGTCAGCTGAGAAACTGATAGAGGAGAAGGGAGGGGCCTGGAAGGGCTGGTAGCAGCACTGGCACACCTTGCAGGTGCCACATCCAGATCCAGCGCTCCTTTTCCAACTTAGAAGCAGTTTTGTGACAAAGATCTTGCATTGCTCTCCTGAAATGACAAACATTACTTATGCTTCAAACAATCCTGAAGAGCAACTGGGTGAGGCTTTGATTCTGAAGTGAAAGGAATGGTCTTTCCCAAAGGAAAGTGGGGTGTTTGCTTTGATCTCCTACTGCAGCAATATTAGAAGTGCATGAACAACAGCGTGGTTCACTGCACTGTCATCTCTCTGTGGCTCCGGAGCAAACAGAGCTGGAAGGACCACAGGCTTTACGGGACACCGGGATGGCAGTCCAGGCTTCAGAGGACAGGAAGGAAGCAGAAATAGAGACAAGATGACAACAAACAGGACAGCAACAGTAACAGATTTCAAAACAAGAGCCAGAAGAGGAGTTTTAATGAAGCATTCGGTTAGTAACATGAAATAGAGAATTTCTATGGCAGAGATTTGTGTGAGAAGCCCTCTCCCTTCACTTCTCCCTCTCTGAATCCTTTAGTCTCCTTTTCCCTTTACCATTTTTTGAGAAGTGAAATAAATGAGTGGCCTATGTCTCAGAATGAAGGACAGACATGAGGCTGTGCCTATTGGTCTGAGGCTGCAGAGCAAAGCTGCACACATTACTGAGAGAGCATGAGGCCTCCCCCAGCAGCAGATGCAAAGATGCTTGGGAAGAGACCTATAGCTTCCCTCTGAACCAGTATTGAGCAATCAAGACAAGTCCAGTTTACAACCTTTTAAAATTCTGCCTGAGAGAATTATCCACAGGGGCAATGTGACCCCCAAGAGGTGGGGGATGGAATCTACAGGATGCCCAACAGATGAGGAGGAATTGTGATGACGAAAGAGGGGACATGCATTACCGGTGACATTGACAGGGGACAGATGCATATCCCCAGAGGGGAACGCTATAGGATTCAATATTGAATATCCACCCAGCCCAGAAAGCACCAGTGCTAGATCCCAGAGTTCTAGTCTATACCAAACCTTTCTGCCTCTTAGTGACCATGTGTCTCTCTCTGACCAGCAACCCCAGAAGTGTCAGAAGCCTCAGCTAGGAAGAGGGTTGGAATTGATAGAGAAATGGAACAAGAAGCCAAACCAACGATCCTTTCTCCAGAACCAAGATGTAGACAGAAGAAACTCTACACTTAGATAAAGTATAGAGTTTTGTGCTTTTCAATAGATAGGGCATGTTAATTATAACAAGAGATTATTCAGAGGCTGAAAATAACCTATATACAGTTTACTCTCTGAAAGTGACTAAGGGATCTATGGGCTTATGAAAACTGAAGTGAGGGCAGTGGTTGGTGGGAAAGTAAAATCATTTTCCACTTTCTCTCTATGGAGCAAATATATATCTGATTCTTTGATGATATTGTTTTTAACCATAAATGTAAACATTATAATTTCTGTGCAAGTGTTTATAATGTTGATAAGTGGCCAACAGGCCAGTTTCCCCATTACATCATTACAAAAGCATTGATGTTACACCATGGAAGTTGACTGGCAAAGTAGAGTGGTTCTAGAAACTCCAAGAAGAAACAGGTTAAATGAGGGGGCTGAATATTCTGGTATAAAGGAATTTGCTAATCATTCCTGTCCACACCTTAAGGCAATTGGTTGAAACGAAGGTTTATCTCAGAATAGAAGGAACTGCTTTCAGAGTAACATTTCCCCCAAGGCCTCTCCTAAAAAACTCTTCTTGCTTAGGAGTGCCTCAGTGTTCACTGCCACTAGAGTTCATTCATTAACTATGTTTCTCGAACCAGTAAATGGGGTATCTGCCTCATAGCTCTATCACTTGCATTAAAGACTGAAGGACTATTTCTCACTGAACTGCACCCTCTCTGAATTTATGACACAAGCACTTTGAGTTTTTCTGATAACCAGCAATAATGGTTCCCAGACATCTCCATATTTTGTTTAATTTTACCCCTTGTCTTACAACAGCTTTGTGCTAACGACAGCCTCTACTGCAACTTCCGTGCTTTTTTAATTTCAGGAAGACCTGCAGGCGGGATAATAAAGCGCTAAGAATGACATTTGCTATGGCGAAAACAAGAGTAGCGATGGTAGCACCAGGAAACCAGCATCACAAGAAGAGGGGAAATACTTTAGCAAATCTAACTTCATTACCAGGTTTGGTTGTAGGAGATTTTATTTGCGCTGAAAAGGTAAGGATGACAAGAACACAGCTCCAAGCAAGAACATTTCAGGTCAAGAAATCAGTATGTTTTTCATGGTAGAAAGGGGACTCATGTGGCCAGCACAGAGTGAGTGAGGAGGGTCGGCATGGGAGATAAGATCAAAGT